CGTTGCCGTTGGCACTCACCTGTTGGGGGGGGGAGTCCTGACGATGCTGCGCCCAACCGGCCTTCCCCACCTCCCATGCAGCCTGGGGCCATTTGGGGACCTCCCAGGCCTCTCTCCCCCAATCCTGGTCTCTAGAGGCCCCTTGGGCACCAAACTACCTGGGCTGGTGGCCAGCCCACACCTCACGGTGGACTGGGCCCTGGGGACAGTGCAGGGGAAAGCACTGCCCCATCTTCAGAAACAGGACAAGGCCCCAGGTCTTATGTAGAAAACCCACTCCTGCCCCTCCTGGGGTCCATCAGGGGCTCCGCTGGTTGGGACCCCCATTCTGGAAGGCAGTGCTGGGGTCCAGCGCACCGCTGGATGTGGCCCAACCCCCAGCCTAGGTGGTGACGGGGAGGAGCCTCAGAGCCTGTGGAAAGAGGCCAGACTGGAAATGCCCGATTCCATTCCCATGACACCCCAAATGAAGACACTCGAACACGGTGCTAGGAGGTGTGCCACACTGCTGAGGACTGGGCAATAGGTCACAGCTCGAAACAGTTGCCGATGGCAGCAACACAGAACAAGAAAAGGCCAAATCCACAGCAGGAGAGCCCTGGTGTCTACAGCCGCCAGATGGCATGGGGCTCCCGCTGACCCCAGTTCTCTTGGCACTGCGTCCCACTCAGCAACAAGGGCTCCGCCTGGCTCTCCTTGCCCACACCACCCTGACCTGGCCTGGGATGGGGGTTATGACATGTCAGTGTCAGGCTTTGAGGGGCACGTAGCATAGAAAGTACACATGCCTACAACATGCAACAATCACACTAACACGCATGCAGAGCTTGCAGGCAAAGATAGCACAGACAGCACACAGACAGCACACAGACAGATCATATACAGCATACAGACAGCAAAGATAGCACAGACAGCAGACAGCACACAGCACACAGACAGCAGACAGCACAGACAGTGCAGAGACAACACAGATAGTGCACACAGCGCACAGACAGCACACAGACAACAAAGAGAGCACAGACAGCACAGAAAACAGCACACAGCACACAGACAGCACAGATGGCACACAGACAGGGAATAGACAGATCACAGACAGCACACACAGCACAGACAGGGCACACACAGCACACAGCACAGACGGCACACAGATAGCACACAGACAGCAGATAGCACAGACAGTGTACAGACAGCACACAGACAACACAAACAGTGCACACAGCGCACAGACAGCATGCATGCACAGATGGTTCACAGACAGCACAGAGAGCAGACACAGCACAGACAGTGCACAGACAGCACACACAGCACACAGACAACAGACAGCACACAGCACACAGACAGCACATAGACAGCACAGACGGCACACAGCAGAGAGCACAGACAGTGCACAGACAGCACAGAGACAACACAGACAGTTCACACAGCGCACAGACAGCACATAGACAGCACACAGACAACACACAGTATACAGACAGCATGCATGCACAGATAGTGCACAGACAGCACTAACGGCAAAGAGACAGCACAGAGGGCACACAGCACACAGACAGCACAGACGGCACACAGATGGCACACAGATGGCACTGACAGCGCAAACAGCACACAGACACACAGACAGCACAGACAGGGCACAGACAGCACACAGTACACAGACAGCATGCATGCACAGATGGCACACAGACAGCACACAGCATGCATGCACAGATAGCACACAGAAGCACGCAGGGCACAGGCCTACCAGGAGGTTGACAGACTCGATCACATCCAGGAACACCTCATTCTTCCGGTACTTGATACCCTCTGACCGCCAGGACACAGCGTTGGTGACGGTGGCGGGGGGCCGCGGTGCCCCAGTTTCCAGCTTGTGTCCCTCCTGAGTGATGTACCTGTGGGCAGATGCACCTGTGCTGGTGAGGAGTCCACCCTTGTCTTTCTGTGGCGCACTCACTGGGCAGACTCCATTTGGGGATACTGGCCTTTGATGGGGGGAGGGGCAACAAGGGAGCAGATGGGGACAGGTCAGCTAAGGGCCAGGGGGCCCCACCGCAGGCAGTCAGTGGACTGGGGGTCTGAAAGGGTCTCAGTCTGTCTATTTCCCCCCCCTCCCGCCTGTCCCTCCAGCCCCCTCACGCACTCCTGCAGAATCTTGCTGTCCGTGGTCTGGGGGTAGCCGAAGTCCATCAGCTCATCCAGCAGCTCATAGATGATGACGAAGTTGTCCCGGATGCTCTCCTCCTCCAGCTCTTTGAAGTACTCGGAGAACACCTGACCAGGTGGGGTGGGCAGCAGGTGAGGCGCTCCCTGTGCCGCCCTGGGCTCTCTGGGTGGGAGAGGGCTGGGGCGCTGCGGGAACCCACCTGGACCACCTTGTAGAGAAAGGAGAAGACCAGGGAGACGCACGCATTCTTCTTCGACGTGGCGACCACTGCAGCCAGTTAAGGGGCCTGCTGGCCTGGGACCTGCACCGCACCCACGGGGCTGCAGGGCTGTCCACCCCACTGCCGGGGCCAGACATGGCCATCACACGGACAGAGCCTAGCGCCCAGTTCCCAGCTGCACCTGGCCTATAACATACAATGACCATGTGGCCAGGACATGCAGTGACTATGGAACATGGAGCGGGACATGAGATGACTGTGGGGACAGACACCAGACCCAGAGAGCAGTGATCACCTAGCCTGTCCCAGAACACACAGAGACCACATGGTCTCTGTGCAGTGACTATGAGCACATAGATCAGACCTAGGCCATGCAGTGACCACGTGGACCTTGGACACGCAGCGACTATGTGAAATGGCCCAGGACACTGAAAAGGCAGCCGTGGTACCCGCCACCCCAGTGCCTGGTGGATACGATACAGGTTGTTATGTTTAATCCACATGAAGCGGACGCCGCCGTGGGCCAGGATGGGGGAGAGCACCCCTTCCTCCTCCTTCTCCATCAGGATGGGCATGAAGTGCTCCACCTCGGACATGTCCACATCGCCGCGGTAGTTCCGGCAGATGAGCACCTGCAGGACAAGCTGGAGGCTGGCACCACACGGCCTGTGCCACTGCAGAACCCGGGGCCCTTAGCCCTCTATGCAGGTGCTCAGAGCCACTCCTGTGCCCGGACACTGGGCACCCCCCAGGGCAAAGCCGCAGCCCTGCTGGGACCCCGGGAGAGCCGGGGATGCATCCCCTGACAAGGGGCTTTGGGACCATGGCAGGGTCCCCAGGGAGCAGAAAGGGAGACTGTGGGGAAGGACAGAGACGCGGCCCTGGGTGGGCGTGTGCAGGCCTGCGGGTAGGTGTCGCGGCTAGGGCCCTTCCCGCGGGGGGCGGGGTGCCTGTGGGACCAGGGCTCATCACCCAGGGTCCCCGGAGGAGCCGCCGAAGGGCGTCGAGACCGGGACAGGCCGGGCGGGCGCGTGGGTGCTGCCGGCGCCGTCCTGGCCTCGCAGGCTGTGGATTCTGGCTGACACCCAGGGCAGCGCCCACTCGCGGGCGGGCACCGTGGGAAGTGGGGGGCTGGCAGGGCCCCCGGCCGTCTCTGCAACTGCTGGGCGGACGGGACCCCTCAGCGCCACCCAGGCTCCGGGCCGGGGACCCCTGAGTGCAAACCCCCGCCAGGCTGCGGGCAGCGGCGGGGGGCGACGCTGCGTGAGGGGCCCCCGCGGGTGTCCCCGAGCCGCCAGCTGCTGCCGGACACCGCGGGCCCTGCGACGGGGAGACGCCTCACCTTGCCCTTCAGGTCCAGCACGTAGACGGCGCTGGCGGACATGGCGGCGGCCCAGCGCGGCGGCACGGCGGGGACTCCCGGGCGTTGGGCAAGGCCGGGCGCGCCCCGCGACGGCTCGCGGCCACTTCCGCCCGGGCAGCAGCGCACGGACCGTTATGTCCGGCCTGGGAGGCACTGCCGGGAGTGCGCAGGCGCGGGCGGGGAGTGCGCAGGCGCAGAGCCGCCGGACGCGCGCGCCCCGGAAGTGGCGGCGAGAGGGGCGGGGCCGGGCGAACTGGCCCCTCCCCCGGGCTCCGGGGAGTAAAGATGCCTGCGGCCCGTGCCACTCGCTGTCGCTGTCGGGGTGGAGTGTTTGCTCATTAGCTGACCCAGCCGCTAGGCAGCAAAACCTTATCAGTAGTCCCTGCCCCTCACTGCCTGGACCGCCCGCATTCCTGGGGAAGGAGCGAGTGCCTGCGACGATGCTCCACGTAGTGTGCCCTCTCCTACCCAGGCAACTGGCTTGCCCATTCCGTGTTCGGACCCAGTGAACACCCACCTCCTTCCCGGGTCTCCAGCTTCCCATCTCCTTTTCTACCTCTCTGGAATTTAGGGTTTGCAACGTTTTCACCTGCCCGGGCTATGGCAGAGAGGCGTGAGTGCAGACATAGGGACCGGTTCTCCAGGGTGGCTTGAACTCCCACTCAAGGCTGCCTGAAACAGCTCTCGGAAAACCTTTGATGGGACTGGGTTAACAGCTCACTGGGCTGCCAAGGCCTCACACCCAGGAGGCCCAGCCCAGGCTCAGGCACCATCCAGGGGAACCTAGAACACTGAGGCCAAGTACTGCTTCAAGTTCCTGCATTCCTTGGCAGTGGAGGGGAGGTGCCACTGCATGGCTCATGCTGAATAATGACGCTTACGCAGGCTCCCTGATGCTCGCTTTATTCCACATCCGACCTGCTCCTTTCTCCCGCCCTTATCGTGCTGCTCTCTGCCTGGGGGACAGGCAGCTGCAGCACCTGCACCGTCCCCTGTGCGGCTCCTGGCTCCGGGTCACATCCTGCGCCCCCAAGTGTCTTTGGCCAGGAAGCCCCCAGCCCGTGCTGGTTCCTGCAGAACAAACTTGTCTATCCTACAACTTGCTGTCTCCGCGATGGGGACAGCAGGACCCTGGCTTCAGGAGACATGCCCCTCCCGCTGTCACCATCACCCAGGGGCCAGATGGCCCAACAGGTCCAGGGCAGAGAGTCTGGCCTCTTGCACATCCCTTCACACTGATACCCCCACGGCCGAGACTTGAGAGTGAGGTGGCTGCTTTAATCATCTTCCAGAAGGGTCAAAGGGCAGCCAGCGCAGGGCACCTGGGCATCCCGGCCACAATATAGTGGGCTACTTGGTCCAGCTGACTTTGGGAATGTCATAGTGCTCGGTCAGTGTGTCCAGGTGCCGGTTGAAGTCCTGGGAGGGGAGAAGACATGGCTGTCAACACCGTCAGTTCCCTTCACCCTTACACACGCAAGCACGCACGAAACGCATGCAGGCAGGCACGGCACTCACCTCCACTCTCTGTTTGTGAGTCTTGGAAGCTTTCTTCAGGATCCTCTCCATTTGCTGTGGGGAGAGGAAAGTGGGGTTTGAGGTCCAGGGCCGCTCCACCAGCTCCATATGGTGGCGTGTACGGGGGTGGGGGTAGGGCGGGGGCCACCAGGCAGCTTTGGGTGGGTCAGACAGACCCTGAGCACTGGTTGCTCCTGACCAGCCCAGACCCAGTGGCCGGTCAGCAGGCACTCGGCAGCCAATTGTGGCTGACCGTGTGGGTGCTTGAACCCCTGAGCCCAGCAGAGAGCAGAGCCGGGGTGGCCAGCACTGCCTTTGGTGACATCCTGACCACCTGCCCAAGTGCTCAGCCGGGCTCCCCGGCCCCAGTACCATGGTGGCCAGCTAGGAAAGGCCTGGAGACACCTGAAAAAGATCAGCCCAGCCTGGGAACTGCCTTCGAGCCCCACCCCCGGCCCCACCCCAGGACCTGAGGGAAGAGAAAGGCGGCTCCAGCCCCTGCAGACAAGCTGCTCATTCACACCCAAACACGGCCAAAGATACTGTGTCCCCGTTTTTCCGTGGTGCCCACTGCCTGTTTGTTGGGGTGAGCGCCAGTGGACTGTGTCACGGGGCTAGAGTGAGGATTCTCTGCTGGGCAGTGGCCAACGCGGGTCACCAGCTCCCGAAATGTTGCCGCAGCTGTGACCTAGGGCAGCTCGGGGCCGGCAGGGCGTCCGGGACAGTGCTGGCCTCCAGCCTCGAGGGGGACCCGGGGCGCGGGTCCACCGCCGGCCCCTCTCCCGCTCCCTGGCCTGCCCCCCGACCCCGACGCTCACCCGCTTCTCCTGCATCTTCTCGAAGGCTGCCTGCGCCGGGGTCCGCTTGTCCAGGCCGCGCCGCTTCTCCTCCTCGCTCTTTTTGCTCGTACCCATCGCTTCCAGCAGCTTCTCCTTGTCCTTCTCTTTCTTTTTCTTCTTCCTGGGAGGGAGGAGACCGGTTGGGGTCAGCGGGCAGCGGCCCCCGAGGCCTGCGGGGCCGCGCGCAGCACTCACCGCTTGGTCACGCCCAGCTCCGCGACGCCTTTCAGCTTCAGCGGCCCTTTCTGGACCTGCTCGTAGGCCGCCGCCATGGCTGCGTCGCCGCCGCCGCCGCGAATCTGCCACACTTCCGGCAGAGGAGGCTGAATCTTTCTCCCGGGCGTCCCCCTCCCTTAGCTCGGATTGGCTGAGCTTTGATGGCGCATGCGCTCCAGCACCAGGCAATGCCGTGCTTCCGGAAATGGGCGGGGCCTAGGCGCAGGCGCGTTGCGTTCCCTGCTCCGGTCTCCCGCCACACTTCCGGCCCGGGTTTGGCCCTTGGTGACCCTCTAAGCGCTTCCTGGTGCCCCCAAACTCCTCTTTCTTCCCATAGCTCCACTTTTGGAGCTTTCTTTTGTTGTGTTGTTTGTGTTTTGCTTTGGGCCATAGCCAGCCGCGCTTAGCACTCAGGGATCGTATCTAGCAGGGTTCACTGCTATGTGGTGCCGGAGGGGCGAGAAGTCTCAGGCTGAGGAGGAGGCCTGAGGCTCAGGCTCTCGGGCTCGGGCTCGGGCTCGGGCTCAGGCTTCAGAGGGCAGAATCAGAGGGGAGAGGGGCTCAGGCTTGAGAGAGAGAAGCAGAAGGGGAGTGAAGATGGGAATAAACTACAATTGAGACCGACCAGCCTGGCCCTTGTTTCCTTCCTTTGCATGCCCATCGCCATCGACCACCCCAGGGTGGGGGAAACGGCTTGAGACTATAGAATGAGAGCGGCGGGAGAGATAGAGCGCCGCCGGACCTTTTGAAAACACACACCCCACATTCTATATGGTCCCTTGAGCATCACCCAAAAAAGCCAAAACAAAAAGAACCCAGATCTTCGCCATGCAAGCACACGCCTCCCCACTGTCCTCTCACTTTGGCCCCGTTTTGGCCCTGGCTTTCTTTCATGGCTGCCTTCCAAGTGCTCCATGATACTTACACCCAAGTTTGCACTGATCCTGATCGAGATGGGTGTGCCAGTGCAATTTCCAGTGGCCGCTGTTGCATAGAGGACTCTGGCAGTGAGGTGGGAGAAGGCTGCCACACCGACCGTGTCCAGGAGAACCTGCAGAGAGGGCAGCAAGTGGGCAGCCAGCCAACCTGCAGGCACCTCCATTTGCTCTTCAGTGAATTTCCTGCTCAGCGAGCAGATGTCTGTGGGGTCATCGGCCCTTGGGCCTTGCCCGGGAGTGTTTCCCTGACACTGAGAGACCCTGAGTGCAGGTGTCTCGGGTGGATGACATCAAGCGCTCGTTCACAGGTACCTGAGTCCCGTGATGGCAAGGCCCCCAGTAAAGCAGCGGCAGCCCCTGGCCCTTAGACAGAAGAGCGGAAATAGAGACCCACAGAGTCCTGCTGACTGGTACCACCGGATCTCAATTGTGCAGGTACTTCCCTTGCTTCTGGGGTGATGGCATCACCCCTGTTCCATCCCCCGCACCACCTGGTCCTCCGGGCACTGCTGAGTGCAGCTCTGCCTCCTATCCCTCAGCCCCTCCGGGATGGCCCAGGTGACTCCTGGCGCCAGCATTGCACCTTCTGACACTGAGCCACTGGCCTGGTTGTATTAGTGTTGGCACAAAAGTGGATATTCCTGCACTAGTTTGGAAGATTTGCAGACAGAATCGGAAGGGTCAGAAGTCAGAGTTTATTGTACGGTTCAAGTAGGTGCGTCCAGGACCTCCCCGTGTCCACCTGTTCCCCTGACCTGTGTGTGAAGTTGCTCATCCTGTTCCTCACCGTCTGCCTGCCTCCATGGAGAATGGCCCGTCTCATCCTGCCTCCTTCTCTCTCCAGGATGCTCTCATAGCCTGGGATCTGCAGCTGGAACGGTCACTCTAGGTCTGTGCCCCAGCGGTTCCTGGTCCCCTCTGGCCATGCAGGAGTGTGGGGGAGGTCCCTGCCATCCTGCCATGTGTCTGAGCAGAACCGAGTGGCTGGGGCTCCCTTACCTGCGGCCCCTCCCACCCCAGCCACCCAGTTGCCTTTTATCGCCTTTGCCCGAGTCCTTTCCACTGCGCGAGACTTCAAGCTGACCCAGTACGCTGACTAGTTCTCTGGCCGCAGCCTGCCTCTCTGCTCTCCGCTGTGTCCGTGGTTGGCTGAGGCCTCCTGGCTGCCACGTGGGGGCCCCTGTCCCCTCAAAAGACAGGAAACCCTTTGCTATTCGCTCTGTGACTTTCTCAGTCATACGTGGTCAACATTATCCCCTCATCACTATCAACCTTCATATCATCATCACTGTCACCACCATCAGACCATCGTCACCAGCCCCATCACCACCACCACCACCACCACATCAGCCACTGTTCCCAGCACCACCAGCATCACCGTCAGCCACGTCACCCTCACATGACACCCCATCCTCCTCGTTCACTTCCTGGCACAGCACTTACAGCTGCCTTCCCTGGCGCGTTGTCCCCTTGCTTCCTGTCTCCTGCATCTTCAGAGCAGGTTGGTGGGTGCTGCTGTCATCACCAGGTGACAGACAAGGCTTGGGGTTGGGGGCTGGGATTTGAGGAAGGGGCGAGCCTAGACGTGTCCACTCTCCTGCCCACCTGACCCTTCCTGCCCCCCCCCCCCGGCTGCGGGCACACACGGGGCATGGTCCAGAGGTGGGGCTGTAACCTGAGTTGGGGCGGGTGATGGCCAGGGCATGCCTCGGTGCCCGCAGGCCGGCGCTTGGCCCCCACACTGGACCTGGGGCGGTCAGTGTCCGCCATGGGCAGCAAGCAGACGGTGTTCACACACGAGCAGTTGGAGGCCTACCAGGTGGGGGGGCGCTGGCCCGGGGCTGGCTGGTCCCTGTGAGGTTCGGGGCTGTCCAGCAGCCGGCTGAGCACTGTCCCTGCAGGACTGCACCTTCTTCACGAGGAAGGAGATCCTGAGGTGTGTGGGCAGGACGAGGCGTCTACAGCCGCGGGGATGGGTGAGAGGGGCTCACTTAGGGCGGGGCTGGGAGAGCGACCCACGCCGGGGGACAGGCCAGGGGCCATTGCCCAGCACCCTGAAACCCAAGCTGGGAGGGGTGAGGGCCGAGGGGGCCAGGCCTGTGCGTGGGCACGGGTGTCAGTTACCGATGGACGCGCCTTGACCGGGAGCCCCATTGTCTGGTGTGGACAGCTCAAGGATCAGCCCCCGGCCATCATGATCCGGTTACCAGCAGGGAAACTGAGGCTCAGGCTGGGGAGGGGGCGCCTGGCTGAGTCCCTAGAGAGGGCGCTGAGGTTCCGTCAGCTCTGACAGATGAGACGCAGGTTCCTGGCGAGGGAACCCTCTAGAGGGGGCTGGACATGGGATGGGTGTAGCCTGGTCCCTCCGTGGTCCTGGGTTCAAGACACTCATGTCAGCTTGGGGACCGCAGAGTTCCCAGGGGCATTCAGGGCTGGCTACGTAGTGCTTGTGGGGTACAAGCAATCAGGGGTTGCAGAATGCCTCGTTGCAGAATGCTCCACCCTTATAAACGCCACAGGGAGGGGGTTTGCCTTGCACGCAGCTGACCTGGGTTTGATCCCCAGCATCCCAGGGTCCCCTGAGCCCACCAAGAGTGAGCCCTGAGCACAGAGCCAGGAGTCAGCTCTAAGAACCGCTGAGTGTGGCTCCCAACCCTCCCTTCCCCGCCCCCCCCACACATTAGTCCTCTGCTTGGTCCATAGAGGAGCCATCTCCATTCTGGGGTGAGTGTAAGAGACCTCTGGGGGTGGAGCCTGGATACTGTAGCACATTAGCCCGTGGGAAGCACCTCGCCTTAAAGCTTTCCCTTTGGCCCACCTGCCTGCCCAGTAAGCTCCTATTATGTGTCAAAACTCCATGCCAGTGGCCTTTCCTGTAGGACTCCCTCCTTCTTTCAGTACCCCTGTCTGTTATCCTCGTGTTAGCTGCACGAGTGGAGGGCTGGGTCCAGTGGGGTGTGAGCCTGTGCCAGCTCTACCCAGGCCCCAGGCTGGGGTGCCCAACAGTGAGTGGACATGGCGACGGCTGGAGCAAGATGTGCAAGGCTCTCCCTGGCCTCCTCCCCAGGCTGTTCTACCGATACCAGGACCTGGCCCCCCAGCTTGTGCCCCTGGACTACACCAGCTGCCCGGACGTGAAAGTGCCTTTTGAGCTCATTATCAGCATGCCAGAGCTGAAGGTGCACTGGCGGGACCCTTGGGCCCGGGACCTGGGACGTGCCCATGGGGACTGGCCACCGTGACCCCATGCCCGACTCTGGAGCCCAAGATGAGGAACAAGGAGCCCGAGCAATAGGACAGTGGGCAAAGATGCTTCCCTCGTACACTGCTGACCCGGGTTCCATCCTTGCATCCTTTCGGTCCCCTGAGCCCCGCTAGGAGTGAGCACAGAGTTGGGAGTCAGCCCTGAACAATACCAGGTGTCGCCCAATTCCAAAATAAGCGCAAAAGGGGACAGCGAGGCGTGGAGCCTGTGAGCAGAGAACTCAGGGCAGAGCCTGCATCAGGAACGGCTGGAACCAGCAGTCTGAGTGAGGCTGTTGCGGCGGGGGGGGGGGGGGGGTGGCTTGCATCTCTCAGGCCCTCCAGAGAGATTCCACCTGTCCCCTTCCCCAGTCCCACGCGGAAGCTTTCCTCCCATCCCTCTGGTGTAGGAGGCCCCCTGTTGCCCTGGGTTGGGTGGTCGCAAGGCCGCAGGGACGGGGTAGAGGGGGTGGGGAGAAGGCTGGGGAGGCCAGTGGCCTCCCGGGCGAGGCTGGGCTCTGTCGCCGTCTCCAGGACAATCCATTCCGCCAGAGGATCGCCCAGGTCTTCTCAGAGGCCGGGGATGGCCACATGAGCCTGGACAACTTCCTGGACATGTTCTCCGTCATGAGCGAGATGGCCCCACGCGACCTCAAGGCCCACTATGCCTTTCGGATCTACGGTGTGCCCCCGCCTGCACTCTGCCAGGGTCCACCCAGCACTGTCTACTCGATACCCTGGACCTTTCCCCAGATGCCTGCTAGGCTCGTCCCCTGTGAGGTCTGAGCTCCCCCTGCACCCCCCAGCCCGCCCCACCCCTCACTGGACCCCCGTACCCCACTCCCCCCAGACTTCAATGATGATGGCTACATCTGTGCCTGGGACCTGGAGCAGACGGTGGGCAGGCTCACCCGTGGGGAACTGAGCACCGAGGAGGTGAGCCTTGTATGCGAGAAGGTGCTGGACGAGGCGGACAGTGACCACGACGGGCGGCTGTCTCTGGAGGACTTCCAGAACATGATCCTGCGGGCGCCCGACTTCCTCAGGTGAGTGCTGGCCGGATGCCCAGCGACACCCCCCATGTGGCCTGTCTCCTGCTGTCAAGTTGCAGGGCTTCAGCGGGGCCCCGGGTCTGCCTGCGCCTGTTGATGTGGACCCTTTTCTCCATACACAGCACCTTCCATATCCGGATCTGAGCCCACAATGAAGGGGACAGCTGGCAGCCCGAGGTCTGGGAATAAAGACGCGAGTGGCCCCGTGTGTATGTTTGTGTATGGAGCGTGCCATTCGCCCCACAGCCCGGCTGTATTTGCTCCGGGCCAGACCCGGGTCTCTCTCCATCTTGAGGAACTGACCTGCCCCCATGCCCTGGGTGGACAGAGATAGCCCGAGCATCTGCCTTGCTCCCCCCACCCCCTACCCAAAGGGGCTGCTGCTTCCGGAGGCGGTGGGAGGTGCCATTCGCAGAGGTGGGCGCTCTGTAGTCCATGGCTTCTCTGACACCTGTGAGGCTCGGTCCAGTGCCCCGTGCCATTTGGAGGGATAGGGCTGAGGCCAACTGACCAGGCGCCTCCCCAGGAACAGGAGGGGGCAGGGCGGGGGGGGGGGGTAAAACAAGCAAACACAGGTCCGAAACGTGCAGAATGTGGTTCCCCGCCTGCCCCGCCAAGGCAGGACACTGACCTGGAGGGTCTGACCCCGCTGTCCCAGACCCCGCGTTCCGTGGCAGCGCCCCCTCAGCAAGCTCAGTGCAGCCTCCGGCGCGGGCGAGTTGGGCGCCGCCCCTAGAAGCCGGGCGCGAAGGGCGGGGGCCGGCGGTACTCCTCGGGGACCCTGGCCTCCTCGATGCTCCCCGCCGCGGGCCCCGCCCAGAGGGCCGTCCCGGGGGCCACGCGGACGTGTGTGTCGACATTCTGGCTGTGCGGGAGGACGCGGGGCCACTGCTGCCGCATCTTCTTGCCTGTCTGGGGCAGCGCCTTCAGGTTCCTCCAGAGTCGGTGGCAGGCGTCCTCCAGCCGTGCTCCAGGGGCTCCCTCGGTGACTGCTGCCTCCTCACATGGGTCCTCTGCCCGCTGCGTCCTGTCCTCCAGCCGTGGGGACACCTGCAACCCGGCGCCAGGGAAACAAGCAACAGCTGGATGCTCCAGGGCGTGGGTGTCCAGGATGAGCGCACGCCTGACCCGCGAGAATCAGCTCCGAGTCCCCGAGAGTGCCTGGGGACCCCGCGAGCTCTGCCGCATGTGTGCAACCCTCCCACCATAAAGTTCCCACCCCTTGCCGGGCCCGCGCCCCAGTCGTCCAACTGCACCCCTGCAACCCCACCCAACTCCCGGCCCGGCCCGCCCAGTCCGGACCCCGCCCCCACATGACCAGACCCGCCCTCACCTGGCCAGACCCCGCCCCGACCCCCAACGCCCAGCTCTTAGCCTAAGCTCCGCTGGGGAATAGCTGCTGACCTATGCGCCTCCAGTTTTACCGTCAGCTCGCCCCCGTGCCGCTTGCCCACCTCACCCCTCCAGCTCTGCCGTCCCTTCCCTGCACCTGACCCTCCCCCGCCTGCCACACCGAGGTGCCCAGAACCCGAAAGTGGGTGGACGTGTCTTAGAGACGCACCGCACAGCGCCACCTGGTGGCGACTCGGCGGAAGTCTCACGCCCCGTTTCTGAGGGTGCCCCTGCCCTGTCTCCGTGGAGCTGGGGGGGGGGGTGAAGCAAGATTTAGCTTGGAAGCCCCAAGTTTGGGGTGATAATCTGCCATCATATGAATTGAGGCTGCCTTTTTTGTTGGTTTTTATTTGGGGGCACACCCCACGATGCTCAGGGGTTACCCCTGACTCTGCACTCAGGAATCACTCCTGGTAGTGATGGGGAGGATCATATGGGGCGCCAGAAATCAAACCCGGGTCGCCTGAGTGCAAGGCAAGCGCCCTACACGCTGTGCTACCACTGCACCACTTGAAGCTGCGTGCTTGATCCCTAAAGACCCCCATTCTTCACTGGAGTAAACCCACGGGTGGAAATTTCTTAAGAGAAACGGGCCTGGGGAGGGACGGAAGAGCACACAGCGCCATCTCGTGGCATTTCTGTGTAACTGTCGCGGCCCGACTTTCAAACGCTTAAGATTTCCAGCCCTTTTCTTTGCTTCAGTGTTAGGTATGGCCTCATTAAGGATCAAGCACGCAACTTCAGTAGCAGAGCGGTTAGGGCACTTGCTTGCATTCAGCGGCCCCAGGTTCGTTCACCGGGACCGCATATTGTCCCAAATCATACCAGGAGTGATTCCTGAGTGCAGAGAGGAGTACTCCCTGAGCATCGCAAGAGCCCTAACTGCTCTGCTACCGCTGCAGTGGCCTAAGCTGCGTGCTTGGATCCTTAATTGCCCTATACCTAACATTCCGTTCCTTCCCTGACCTCCTTCCAGAACCCGCTATAGCTCCCCACTAAGAGAAACGTCCTGGAATGATAGTCCAGCGGATAGGGTGTTTGCCTTGTACCCGACCGACGCGGGTTCAATTCCCAGCACCCCATATGGTCCCCTGAGCACCGCCAGGAGTAATTCCTGAGTGCAAAGCCAGGACTAGCCCCTGTACATCGCCGGGTGTGACCACCCAAAAAAATTCCCTGGGGAGGGACGGAAACGCCCCACAGCGTCATCTTGTGGCGACATGGTGAAAGTGTCCTGTTTTGAATTCGCAGGGAAGGAGATTGCCTGTCCTAGGCTCCTTCTCACCGTGTTAACATTCCTCCCAAAGCACCACAGTTCCTTTGACTGCAGCTTATTCCACCCCAATTTTGGGGTACAGAGCTGAATCTTTCTTCCACTCACTCCACGGAGAACAGGGGAGCACAGGCTGAGGCTGTCTCATATATATTGGAACCCCTCAAATAAATACACAAAACGTGCAGTGTGGTAGGCTAGGGTGAGGATCAGGTGCAGAGAAGTGCAGAGAATCCTTAGGGCCGGAGTCACAGCTGGGATGACCTAGGGGCGGAGCTGAGTTAGAGCAGAGTTTAAGGTGAGCTAATCAGGGCGGGGCTGAGGGTGGAGTTTAAGGTGGAGCTGGGTCAGGGCGGAGCTGGGGGCGGGGCTGAGGGTGGAGCTTAAGCAGGACCTGATCAGGGCGGGGCTTGCCTGAACTGAGGGTGGAGCGTAAAGTGGAGATGAGTCAGGACAGGGCTGGGGAAGGGGCTAAGGGTGGGATCTTAAGGTGGAGCTGATCAGGGCGGAGCTGGGGTGGATCTTGGAGCTTAGGGTTGGAGCTGAGTAGGCCGAGCTAGGGATGGAGCTGGAGGCGGGGCTGAGTCGTGGGCCGATCTGTGGGAGAGCCTGAGTGTGGAGCTGCGTTTCACCTGGGTCCCTGGAACAGGCGTTGAACTCGGAGGATGATGGGCCTAGTCTCTACCTGTACTCCTCCCTCACCCCAAGGTGCAAGGTGCTAGTTTTTTGTCACTTACCTTCTTAGGTTCGGACAGAGGGCAGGAGAGGGGATGCTGACGTGGGCCGGGGACTCTCTTAGTGAGTGCATTGGAGTGAAGCAACAGATCCTCATAATCCACGTTTCCTGGATCCTTCTGTGGGGCAGAGAGGTTCTGTAGCTCAGCTGCAAGGAAGAGACAGAGCTCCCACCCTGGGCAAAACCCAGAAGCAGAGAGGGGTGGGTGGGCTGCTCCAACTAGTGCTCTGTCCACACGTCTCCTGAGGAAGCATGCCCCGCCCACTGCAGTCTGAGCCAGGCCCCCACTCACGGGGCCATACACACGCCATGGAGACCCCGCCCACTGATGGTTAGACCACGCCCTCTGTGCATAATTAGAAAGCAGCCCAACCCACTGCCGGCTAGGTTATTAGAAATGACGTCCCACCCACCCAAAAGCTCCACCCATTTAACCTTATTTGGAAGCATGACCCGCCCACTCGCAACCAGACCCGCCCACTTTTGGTTCCCTAGCCATTTGCTCCACATCCTGAGTGTGAACTTTGGTTAAAAAAAGGGCCAGTAGGGTGCATGAGAGAACCAACACAGAATGTCTACGGGGCACCTGGGAACTGAGATATGGGGCCCTCCTCACCTGCCCGCACGCCTGTGTCAGCAGCTCCTGGTGTGGCCACAAGGGCTGCTGCTGGTGGAAGGCCACCAGCGAGGCCAGCGAGGCGTGCACCGTCTTCTGCCCAGGGATCAGGAAGCCCCCAGCGTCCAGGAGCTTCACCATGAAGTGCCGGCAGCCGCTCTGGGCTCTGCAGAGACAGCACAGTGAGCTAGGTGGCCAGCCTTGGACGGGCCTCCCTGGGGGAGCCACGGACCACTCAGCACCCCAGCAGTCCTCATTCTGAGACAGTCTGTACCCCCAGGCCTGTCGGTACTGGGCACAGCCGGACATGCAGCCGTTCCCCTCAGTCTGCACCCATCAGAGCAGCCTCATGTATTGTCTGCTTTCTGAGATGAGGTGGGATGAGGGGCCCCCGACTCCCCCCACCTTACTTGTAAGAGAGGGTGTAGCCCACGTGGCTGTGGCTGACTCTGAGCAGGAAGGCCCCCAGTGGCTTCGATGCCAGCAGGTCTTCAGCATCCCTGGGGGCACAGGGAGGAGGAGGGATGGCTAAGACCAGGGCCCCAGCACAGCCAGAGTCCCAGCAGGGACCTCAGCATCCGTGCCCGAGCTGACAGACCTCACGCGTCCACTGCCCACTGAGAACCTGGCCCTGGGAGGGTCTGTCCACTCGGTAGAGCCGGAGACCTCGGGCTGGGCTGGGGTCATTCCCAGCAGTACTGAGGGACATATGGCCCTAGGAATCAAACCGTCCACCTACATACAAAGCCTGTGGTTGACCTTTGACCATCTCCTTGGCTAAACACAATTGTTTTGGGGTCAACCCGGAGGTGCACAGGGCTTACTCCTGCCTCTGTTCTCGTATCACTCCTGATGGGGCTCAAGGGACTCTGAGAAGTTCTGCGAATCGAACTGGGGTCCAACGTGTGCAAGGGAAGGGTCTGGCTTGCTGTATTATCACTCTGGCCCTAGGTTCAACACTTTAGTGCTGACCTTAACTGCTGGGGCACAGCCCCTGGGGAAGCTGTGTGAGCAAGGTTTGTACTTGTCAGCATCCTCGGGGGCTCCAGGCCCCAGAGGGAAAACAGAACCCCAGAGGAGAAATACTTTCTCCAGGTCCTCCAACACCACCACCTGGGTCCCCGCCCCTGGTACCTGCAGAACACATGGTAAAACTGAGCCCAGATCTTGCCAGGAGGAAGGAGGGTGTGTGTCGGGGTGGGGGGTGGGGGGTGGGGCAGAGGTGTCCTTACGCTCTGGAGATGGCGCCGTGGAACCAGGTGGGAATGCCTCCATGGGCCAGCGGGCCCATCTGTGTCTGCAGAAACCAGTCGAACCAGGGAGGCAGGTTTTGGGCCTGGGCCATGGCGTCTGGGGAGTGGGCAGTAGGAGAAATAGTCCAGTCTGAGCCATGTCCCAGTTTTGTTCCTTCCTTACGGCTCATGGTGCCTCTTCCTGCAGGAAGTCCTCCGGCCTTCATGGGGGCCTGTAAGTCTAGAGCTGATGAGCGTCTCCTGAGCCCCAGTGAGGTTCCTGCTCACCATGCGGATGTTCCTCATCTCCTCATTCAGTGAGAATCATGGGTACTAGCAAGTTCCTCGCGTGCTCACAGCCTGTCCCTGTCTAGGCCTCCCTCCCAGCTTTCCCCGGTTCTGACTTGGGGAAGTGACTGTAGCCCCCAGACCTGTCATCCCACATGGTGGGGGAGCAGAGCCCCACTCTGCAGGAGTGGTGGCTCCCACACCTGGGAAGAGCGAGGCTTCCCTCAACTTCTTGGAAGTGCAGGAATGTACCGGGAATGAGCCTGGGCAACTGCCAAAGGGCCATTCCAGGACCCACCGCCGGCTGGTGTGGAGCTGGCCGCCATCTGGGGGAAGGAGCATCCCTTGCGGAGACCCCCAGGTCTATGCTTCGCCCTAGATTACCCCTACCCAGGCAAACTCCTACTCATCTCTTAAAACCCTGTGCAAACGCCGTCCCCCAGACGGCCTTCCTGTTCTTGAGTGCCGCTGGCCTGATTTTGGAGAGCTGGGTGAGGGGCAGTCTGGGGCATGGCGGGGTGAGCAGAGGCTGTGGCGCCCCAGCCACTTACCTGGGAGTCCAGGACAGCGAGGCCCCCGCTGGAGTGCGTGGTGACTGTCTGGTTTCATTTCTGGGAGCGCTCGTCACAGGGGCGGGCCCACAGCCTGGTAGGTGGACGCACACCCCGCCCGCCCTGACACCACTGGGCAATGATTCCCACGGGTGAGGGGCACTGCAGGAAGGACTCCCCAGGGCTGGGCACAGGGCTGGAGGCACCTCGGAAGCTGAGCTGGGTCTGGGTTCTAGTTTTAACTTTGTAGTTGGCCAAAGGCCACAGAAGCGGAGACTGATGTGGAGGCCCAGAGAGGAGGCGGAGGGCGCCGATCCCAGGGGTCCAAGGAAGACCTGGGTGAAACACCCTTGACTTCAGCTGTGGTGGGCTCTGGCCAGGGGAAGCTGCAAGGAGGGCCCCCGCCCACTGCAGAATCCAGCCCCTTAGAAACAGCCGCTTCCCGCCTTCCGGACCCCTGGCTCCTGGGGGTGGGGGCTCTAGCAAGCAAACTCACCACCAAGGTGGCTCGTTTTTAGTTTCATTTTATTTTGGGTTTCAGGGGGCCAGGTGTGGCGAGCGGAGTTCCTCCCAGCTTCCCCGCGCACACTGGGCCTGCGACCTTCAGCCCTCCACCCGCCCCGCCCTGCCAGGCGGAGGCACAGCCACTTCCTGCTCACTGGGGTGGCGGGCCCAGCTGGGAAGCACCCCACCCGCTGGCTAGCCAGGTGCCTTGCCCCATGACGTGGGGACCCCCGTGAATGGTAATATCCCGGGGGTTTCTGTCCAATTCCACGCTGACCCTGAGGCAGGCCTGCCACCTGGCAGATGGGGTCACCATGACCTTGCATTGAGCCCGAGAATGTCACATATGCCAGCCAGGAGCCTCTGACCAGTCACCTGCTTGTTTAGACTGAGCCCACGAAGGACTGTGGGGGACAAAATCCTGGTCACCCAGGCAGGCTGTCCCTGCCCCAACCCAGTCGCTCCCTAGCAGAGGCTGGGGAGGAGGAAGCAGGAACGAGGTGGCTCAGGGCAGAGATGACTGGCAGACTTGGGGACACCATAGCAGACGAGGACCCCCACCCTGCGCGGCCCTGCCTGGAGGAAGAGCATTGGGCTTTGGGGGGCCCAGGTCTCACAGTGCCAGTGTGGGGCGAAAGGCTTCGGCACAGAGCCCTGGGCAGACACCCGTTCCCACGAGCTGGGCTGGCAGATCTGGGATGCAGACACCCAATTCCCATGAGCTAGGCTGGTAGATCTGGGTGCAGACACCCAATTCCCACAAGTTAGGCTGGTAGATTTGGGTGCAGATACCCAATTCCCATGAGCTGGGCTGGCAGATCTGGGGTGCAGACACCCGATTCCCACGAGTGGGCCCTGGACCTGGGGGGAAGACACCCCATTCGCATGAGCTGGACCTGGGGTGCAGTTCCACTGCTACAAGGAGGGGCAGGAGGCGACCTGGGTCAGGTCACGCAGGGCCCAGGAGCTGCCAGTTAAGGGGCCAGGCGGGTTGTGAGGTCTAGCCACCCAGGACACTGGTCGAGGGGCACAGGGCTGCAGGGCTGTGTGCTCGGGGCCCCGTAACCCCAGGGCGGCCTTGGGGCCCTGCCTGCCGAGCGGGGACCTGGGATGGGAGGCAGGTGACCACAGAGGAGGGGTGCGGGAACTCAGGGGACCCACCCTGTGGCTTGCTGGCGTGGGCAGGGCCACTTCCTGCAGGGAGAGTGGGGTGCGGCTGGGACAGTTGATGCTGGCATGTTGGGTTTAATTCAAGACACTATGGAATCGGCTGGGCGGCAGCAGCCGGCCAGGGTTAGGGCTGAGGTGAGGGCGAGGGCACGGCACCCGGCCTCCCGCCTGCACGCTTGCTTGCTCAGACACGGATGGCCCGCCTGGAAGGTGCTCATGGTGTGGGGGAAGGTCCTGCCCCGGCTGTGGCCGCTGGAACTGGGGCAGGGGCACCGCGTGGCACCCACCACCTAGGAAAGACTCAGTCCGGAGTGTGTCCGCCGGCCCGGCCCGCCCAAGAGGGCCGATGCTTCGGCCTGTGCTGGTGGCGGGCGTGGGAGCGGCAGGTCAGTCAGCCATCCCGGCGGGCCGGGGAGAGTCTGCCTCGCCTGCCTCCAGAGCTGAGAGCGTCCCGCACAGCTGCTGTCCCGGCAGGGCTGGGCGCACGGCGCCGGCGACTCACAGGAGGATGCACCGGAAGAAGCCGCTTCTCCGCTGCTGCTCAGCCGTGATCCGCACACCCTGGCTGCTGCCCTGCGGGCTATTGCCCTCCTGCAACACGGGGAGCACTGGGGTGGAGCACTCGGGAGCACCGAGAGCCGAGCACCCAACGCTGGTTCCCTGTCCCGGCCCTCATGGCCCTGGGCCTATCTGTCCAGCTCCCATCTTCCCACCGCGCCCCCAGCATGGGTCTGGGCCTGGGATGCCACGGCCACGGCCCTGCGTGCACCCCGCAGCCACGTCACACACAGTGAGAAGCACGGGCAAGCGTGGGGTGTCGCCGGGCGCGGGCGTGCGGGCGGGCGTGGGCATTACCGTCAGGCCGAGGAGGAAGGGCACTGGAAGAGAACCACAGGTTACGGGCTCCCCAGGGGCCAGGGGCCACGGGGGCTCTCTGGGATACAGGGGTCATGGGGGCTCCTGCTTCCCCACATGGGCAAGGGGTACCTGCGCCTCATGCTCAGCTCAGAGGCTCCAGAGCTGGATGCCAGTGTCAGCCCCTACGAGGCCGGATACAGCCACCCTGTCCCCTGCCCCCTGCCCACGGAGGGGCCCGCACTGGCCACCTGCCCCCTGCCCAGAGGGGCCAGTACTGGTCACCTGTCTCCTGCCCATGGAGGGGCCCGCACTGGTCACCTGCCCCCTGCCCACGGGGGGGCCTGCACTGGTCACCTGTCCCCAGCACACAGCCCACCACAAAGTGCCTGTCATGGGCCCAGGAACGATGGGGAAGGCCACACTCACCAATTTTTTGTCCATTTTTGCTTTGATGTCTCTGGCGAGAGTGAAAAATGCCTGTGGAGGGAGGGAAGCCTTGGGGTTCCCATGCAGGCAACAGGGCAGGGCAGGGGAGTGCGCGTAGCTGGCTGGGAAGGTGGGGCTCACCCCGCGGGCTCCACCCCTGCCCCTGCCACATCAGGTGTCCTGGGTGCCAGGGACAGCCGGGGCCAGCAGAGTGGTGGCACAGCCTGGGCCGGCCCTGAGAAGGCCCCACCCCCACCTCCCCCTCAGCGGACACTGGGGAAGCCCTTCGCTGCCCCTGCGGGTTGGGCGGCCGGAACTCACGTTCTCCACATTAATGTTCGCTTTGGCACTGGTCTCCATGAACTTGATCCCGTAGTCGAGGGCCAGCTGCAGGGGACACTTGTCGTCAGCCCAGAGCTGGGCCGGCTCTGCCCCGACCCCAGGCGCTGGCCGGCCCGCTGCCCCAGCCCCACCTTTTCTCCCCGCTCCTTGGACACTTGTCGCTTGTCGTTCACGTCACACTTGTTCCCAAGGATCATCTTCTCCACGTCTGCAGAAGCATGCTGGGAGGGGGCACAGAGCGGTCAGTGTCCCGCCGGAGAATGGCAAGCAGCACGATGGACCCCGCCCCCCCTGCAGGCCACGCGCGCCCGCAGGGTTACAGCTTCCTCTCAGGGAGGCCTAGCCGCCCCCCCCCCTCACCTCCTCGATGTTGCGGATCCAGTTGCGAATGTTGTCGAAGGATTTCTCGTTGGTGATGTCGTAGACCAGCATGATGCCCTGGGGGCGGGGGACCACACTGTCACGGCCAGCCCATCGGGGATGCACCGGGGGATACCGAGGCATGCCCCAGAACGTCTGACCGCGGCACCGTTGTGCCCCACACTCAATGCCTCCCTGTTCCTATGGACAGGGTCCAAGTCTCGGGGACAAGCAGCACCGCCCCCGCCCGTCCCCTCACTCCTGCTCACCATGGCTCCACGGTAGTAGGCCGTGGTGATGGTCCGGAAACGCTCCTGCCCCGCCGTGTCCCTGCAGAGATGAGGGCTCAGAGCCTGGCAGCACCCCCCGCCCCCCACTGCCAGTCCTGTCCATGCTCACACGGGGCGGTGCAGGGCCGGAAGCCAGGATCGGATTCCAAATCTTGTGCCATCCTGAGGCCCATCCCTCGACCCCCACGCTCCTGGCCCAGAGACGCGCCCAGCGGTCTGCAAGAGCAGGACCAGCACGGGCCCACGTACAGACACAGCATGCAGGCATGTGGGCACCCAGTGCTCACAGCCTCATGCACACACAGCTGTGTCTGTGAAGGCTCCAAGCGCCACATATGCCAATGCTGGGGATGGGCATAAGCTTTCCCACGGGGTTTGGCGCCCTGAAGCCCGTGTCGGCGAGCTTGTACTTGCACAGATCTGACCAGCTTCACCCACCCGGCCCTGACCTCAGAGTTGCCCAGAGCAGTTGGCGGAGATTGCAGCAAGGGCCACACGGTAGGTGTGTGGGTGCAGCCCAGGTCTCCGTGAAGGACAGAGCATGGGTGCAGGGGTGAAATGTGAGTACAAGAGTGAGGTGGAGGATGCAGGGGTGAGGCGGTGTGTGTGTGTGTGTGTGTGTGTGTGTGTGTGCGCGCGCGCGTGCAGGGATGAAGTGGTGTACAGGGGCGCGACGGGGTGAGGCAGAGGACTCACCATATCTGCAGTTTGATCCTCTTACCATCGAGCTCTATGGTGCGGATTTTAAAGTCGATTCCTAAGGGGAGGGAGCATATCAGTGAGTCCAAGAGTGAGTGGTGGCATGGCGTGCAGGGTAGAGGAGAGCAGGGTGGGTCAACACAGTTGCCTCAGTATATCGATGCCCAGAGCCAAGACCCTTCAGTCTTCTGTGACAGCAGCCAGACTGGGTACGGTCAGGGGCATCCAGCACTGCTGCTGGTTGTGGACGTCCCATCCCGGAAGCCACAGACCTTACTTAGGAGCCCCAGAACCCGAAGGTCCAGGCCGGCTGCATCAGGCTCCGAGTGGGGCGCTGGAGTCCCTGCATCCCGCCACCGTCCTCAGGACGGACGGACGCAGCGGGCGCTGGGCGGGGGGCGCGAGGAGCCCACCCATCTCAGCTGCCCACCCAGGCGCGGGACTGCAAGGTTGCAGAGCTGGAGCTGCCCGTTTCCGGGTGGCCCGGAGTGTGCAGGGCGCAGGGCGTCACGGAACTGGGCAGGTGACAGGGTCACAGTCAATGTCCCGGGGAGCACCGCCCGGCTCTAAGCTTTCCAGGGGCCCGGGACAGCCCTGTCCTGCGGGACAGGCAGCGCGGTCCGCTCGCGGGGCTTCACCAGAGGGAGTCAGGGAGGGGCGACAGAGGGTGGCCCTGGCCCGGCTGAGCAGCGGTCCCGGGGGCTGACGGCAGGGAGTCCCCCGCACAGGCCAGGGTGGTGCCGGCAGCCCTGGGCCGCGCGCCCGCATCTCTCCCCAAGGCTGGGCCCGGCCTCCGCGCCCCAAAGAGCAGCCACGAGGGGCCCGACGGGGACGGCGGCGGCGCCAGGACGCCCCGGGCCCCGGCTCGCGCACCGCGGAGCCTCAGCTTTCCCACCTGGAAAATGGGCGTGAGCCGCGGCCGCCCTCCTGCGCTGCCCCCGGCCGCCTCCTGGACCCCGCCCCGGGTGGGCCCGGCCCCGTCGCCGGTACCTATGGTGGAGATGAACGTGGAGTTGAAGGCGTCCTCCGAGAAGCGGAACAGGACACAGGTCTTCCCCACACCCGAGTCCCCGATCAGCAGCAGCTTGAACAGGTAATCGTAGGTCTTCGCCATATTACACTCTCTCCCCGACGGGAAGTGTGGCCGGCGCCTCGCCACTGGCCGGCGGCCACGTCCATCAACCCCGAGCCCGCCCCTCATTGGCTGCCGGCCCGTCGCCCCCGCGTCCCGCCCGCCGCGGGGAGCCCTGGGCCGGGGACGCGCCGCGCGCAGAGCCGGAAGCGGCCCGGCTGCGCCTCTCATTGGCAGGCGCTCGGGACCGGCGGGCTACGATTGGTTGACGGCGAAGGGTCTCGGGGGCTTCAAACCAGGAGGGGCGTGGCGTAGCAGCCCTATCCCCGCCCCGCCCCGCCCCCGAAGGCCCCGCCCCAGGAGGGGGACGGGCCTGGAGCGTCGCCAACGGCTTCGCGCGCTGGAAGCTCAGGGCGGGGCCTCGTCGGCGGGCGCGGGCGCGCCCTGTGCAATCCCGCGGGGCGTCGGCAGGGGGCGCGGCGCGAGGCCGCGGGCTCCTCTGCTGCCGGTCGTGGCCGTGGCCCGTCCGCGGGGGGCGGGTTCTGGGCTCCCGCGCCGCCCAGTCCCCCGCCCCGACTTGGGGTGACTGGGAACTCTGTCCCCGCGACCCCCTACCGGCCTCGCACGAGACCCGAACCGGCTCACCAGGAACGCACAAGCGCCCCCAAACCCTGAACCCACTAACCAGTCTTCCCCACTGCTTCGCGGCCCCCAGCCTCGTCCGCCGCCTGGTGCCCTCCTGCAGCCCGCAGTGCCCCTCTAGGTCCGCTCGGGCGTCCTGGTCTCCGGTGCACGGCTGCTTCGCCCCGACGCCTCCCGGTTCTAGGCACTTTGCTGCCACACCCCCGTGGCCCAGTGCCCCTTGTCATGGTCACGGCTCCTGCTCTTCGGTGAGAGTCTTGCTTGCAGCCTGACCCACTGGAATGTCTCCTGGGCCCAAGGAAAGCTATGGGCCACATCCAGATGTGTGCACGATTTATTCCTGGTTCTGTGCTCAGGAATCACTCCCAAACGTGCTTGGGGACCATGTGGCATTGGGATTCGAACTGGGGCCTCTCACATGCCCAGCCCATGCCCACCTTTGGCACCATCTCGGGGCTACATCAGTGTTTAAAAAGATACTGACTTTGGGGCTGGAGAGATAGCACAGCGGGTAGGGTGTTTGCCTTGCACGCGGCCAACCCGGGTTCGATTCCCAGCATCCCATATGGTCCCCTGAGCACCGCCAGGAGTAACTCCTGAGTGCAGAGCCAGGAGTAACCCTTGTGCATCGTCGGGTGTGACCCAAAAAGCAAAAAAAAAAAAAAAGATACTGACTTTGGGGGTACAGCAGGGAGGGCACTTGTCTTGCACTCTGCCAGCCGGGGTTCGATCCCCAGCATCCCATACGGTCCCTTGAGCACCCCCAGGAATAATCCCTGAGTGCAGAACCAGGAGTCAGCAGTCAGCCCTGAGCACACCTGCTGAAGGCTGGGCTGGGGGTGGGGAAGACTTTCGCTTCTCTGTGGTTCCTTGTCCCCCCTCTCCCAGCTGGGGTCTGGGGCAAACATTCAGGTAGTGAAACCAAGTGTGGTGGAGACTTCAGTTCCGTGCATGAGTCTCTTAAGTTTGAAGTTTCTGTCCTCTGGATGGCATCTTTCTCCGTGGGATCCCTGCCTTTCTGCTTTCTCCCTCACTTTCCTAAGCTTAGTCCACACGCTGATCCAGACTCACCTTTACCGGCTGTTTCTTCTGCTTGCTAGTATTGGAGGCATTGGCGGCGGCAAAGGCTAGAAGCTTTGGGGTGCCATTCACCTGCAGGAATGATTGTTGCCAGAGGCATAGGAGGTAGGAACACTTGCCTTGCACAAGGCCAACCCAGGTTCGGCGGACCCCAGCACCACACATGGTCCTCCAAGCATTGCCAGGAGTAAGCTGTAAGAACCATGGCCGTAGCCCCCCCAACACACAGAACGACAATGGTATACCCTCCACCCGGCCCTTGTTCTTGTTCTTGGGGTCTGTTCCCGTCACCCTCCCCACCCCTCAAGACTCACACAAGCCTCCTTTATGTAAAAATTTATTTGACCAAAATGTAGAAAAAGTGAAACTGTTACATAGGACACAGTTGCGAGAATCTAGGGGAGTGGACTTCATTCATCATTGCACCTTGGCTAGTGTGTGTCAGGTAGTGTGGCGCTCAATAAATAGGACAGTGGGAGCAGTGGCCGGGAGGCCGGCAGCAGGGCGCTCTCGGGCCGGGAAGGGGAGGGACTGTAAACATCGGCTGGTCCCCATGCTGCGCCGGGGGGATGCATGGAATGTTTCAGCTCTGAGATGTTCACTGGGAAAAGCAGAAATGAGACAGAGCCCAGAGGCGCAGCCTTGGCTCAGAGGGCCCCAGATCCAGTTTAATCAGGAGTTTCTCGGCCTTTCACCCACTGGGTCCTGAAGACTATCCAGGGAAGGGAGATCGGCTGGCTGCTCTGAAGGACAGAGGGCTGCTGCCGGGCAGGGGCTTGACCAGTGTTCAGCGCTGCTAGGACATGGTAGCCACCTCCCCTCCCGCCTACCGCAGCTGTTCCAGTGCAGGTGGAGGAACAGCTCTGGGGGGCCGGGGGCTGCAGGGGTCTGGAGAACCCCCCGCCCCTACGGAGAGGCTGTTCCATGGGTGGTAGGCAGAAAGAGCTGGGATGATCAGGTTAACTGGCCGTAGTGTGGCCATCCGCCTGAGCTCTGGGTGGAAAAGCCCCTGCTTGTTTGAATGGGACGGTCCCCCCCCTGCGTTGCAGGAAGCGTGTGTGCACGGGCCTTGCAGCCAACCAGGCGCCCGTGGCGGCTGGGAGGGGGGAGCGGGGGGCTGTCCGCTCACCCCGCTGCCCAGCCTACCCGCCCCGGAGCCCACCTGTCCCGGACTGCGGCTGAAGAATGAGCGTGGAGGGACCCTGCCAAGCAGAGAGAAGGAAGGGAGGAAGGAAGGCAGGCGAAGGGGCTGGTGCTCGAAGCTTTCTCTGATACAAAATATTTGGTCACTATTCACGACTGGCCCAGCAATCCGCAGAGCCGGGGCGCGCCAGGGAGCGGCCACGCTAGATACAGTTAAGTTCGTTTAGCGTCTGGTCCAGTGTCTGGTGTAAGCCCACGTTCTCTTCTTTGGCCTGGGCCAGTTTTTCTGGTGAGGATCGAAAAGGGAGGGGGATGAATTAATAGGCGTCTTGGTTAAAGGAAAAGGAACATTTCTGGCAGGGTCTTTGCAGACGTTTTCTTTTTCTTTTTGCTTTTTGGGTCATACCCAGCAATGCACAGGGGTTACTCCTGGCTCTGCACTCAGGAATCACCCCTGGCAGTGCTCAGGGGACCATATGGGTTGCTGGAAATCGAACCCAGGTTGGCCGCGTGCAAGGCAAACGCCCTACCCGCTGTGCTATTGCTCCAGCCCCCGTTTTCTTTCCTTTGGTCACACACACGCAGGCCCCAGGCCCAGCCCAGGCTCCGATCAGCCTCACCACCTCCCAGGCCCCAGCTCTGCATTTTTTTTTTTTTTTGGCTTTTTGGGTCACACCCGGCGATGCACAGGGGTTACTCCTGGCTCTGCACTCAGGAATTACCCCTGGTGCACAGGGGTTACTCCTGGCTCATGCACTCAGGAATCACCCCTGGCGGTGCTCAGGGGACCATATGGGATGCTGGAAATTGAACCCGGGTCAGCCGCGTGCGAGGCAAACGCCCTACCCGCTGTTATCACTCCAGCCCCCAGCTCTGCATTTTTTAATTAAAAAATTTTTTTAATATTTTTAATTTTTTTGCTTTTTGGGTCACACCCAGCGATGCACAGGGGAAACTACTGGCTCATGCACTCAGGAATTACTCTTGGCGGTGCTCGGGGGACCATATTGGGATGCTGGGAATCGAACCCGGGTCAGCCATGTGTAAGGAAAACGCCTACCTGCTGTGCTATTGCTCCAGTCCCCTATTTTCTTTTTTAAAAAACTTTTTTTGGTCACACTTGGCGATACTCAGAGGTTATTGCTGGTTCTACACTCAGGAATTACTCCTGGCGGTGCTCGGAGGACCATGTGGGACGCTGGGGATCGAACCCAGGTCGGCTGCGTGCAAGGCAGATGCCCTCTCCACTATGCTATTGCTCCGGCCCCCCCAACTCTGCATTCTAATGATGGCAGAAACGAAGTTTCAGTCAAGGGCCAAGTGCTAAATCTGGGAGACAGATGAGGCGAGACTGACCCCAGGTGCCTGGCCACATGTGAGGCTCAGGGTCTGCACCATGTGCAGGCAACAGCAGGAGCAGGGAGCAGGGACTGGACTCGCCTTTCCCGGCCCCCACCCACCGCTCCCCACAGTTGTGAAGCCATTTCTACCCAGGGCAGCTCAGGCAGCACGTGACCTAAGGCCACTGTGGCCGGCTGGCACCCAACTGTGACGCCTCAGCATGGGGACAGGATTTCCGAGGATTTTAGTTCACCCCAGCAGTGCTCAGGGGTCACTCCTGCCTCGGGGACCCTGTGGTGCCCGGGGTGGGACCCAGACCAGCCTCCCGCCTGCAAGGCCTGTGCCCCAGTCAGTGGAGCTGTCCCAGCGTCCTGTCCCGAAGCCCCGACAAGGCCCTGAGAGGTCCTGCTCCTGGTGGCCAGTGGAGAACAGGGAAACTGGGCCCTGGGGCCACGGCAGAGGGAGGCGTCAGAGGGCGGAGCGGGCTCCAGTGCCGCACCCCGGGCCTGAGTCTTGAGCTTCGAAGCGAACAGCTTGTCTGGGAGAGCGTGAAGAGGAGACGCAGGACAGAAGACAGCGCAGCGGGAGCCCGAGAGGGAGAGAGGGAGAGAGGGAGAGAGGGAGAGGGCATGAGGACATAGGAGGACAGGGAGCCGCAGGGAGCAGAGGAAGGGACAGTCTGAGGCCTGACCGCCGGGTGCTGCCCCTTGTGGAACCCTGTGGCACCAGCCAGGAGCATCTAGGGGAGCAGCAGGTAGATGGCCTGGGCAGGGCGCCCTGGCCCGGCGCTCCTGAGACTCTGGGGACACAGAGTGGCTGGACAGGGGGAGGTGAGGACCGTGCGTCTTCCTTTTTTGGGCCACCCAGGTGCTCAGGGCTCACTTCTGACAGGGCTCGGGGTCAAGCCCTAACTGGCCACGTGCAAGGGAAGTGCCTTCCTGGCCGCCCCACCTCAGCTGTCCTGACCCCAAGGGTCCCCGGCCAGGGGCGCCTGCTCTCTGGGGGCTGCTGTAGCCAGTGCCCCCCTCCTCTGCCCTGTTCCTGCAGGTGCCCTCAGACACCCCCCAGCCCCGAGGTGCAGTTCAGGCCGGCCCACACCCTCCTACCTTCCAGGTCGTCGATGGTCTTCTCCAGTTTTGCCACCGTCCTCTCCGCGAACTCGGCCCGGGTCTCAGCCTGCATGGAGGGGGTTGTGGGGGGGAAGGTGTGGTGGGCCGCGTCCCCGCAGGAGTGGTACATCGGCCCCACGAGGGGAGGCAGGCCCGGGCGCTCACCTCTTTCAGTTTGTCCGACAGAAGTTTGATCTCTTCTTCGTATTTATCTTCTTTTTCAGAGTACTGCCGGAAAGCAGAAAGGGGGTGAGGCTCGGGGTGGAGGGCGCAGCAGAAGATGCTCACTAAAGGGGGGGCAGACTCCGAGCGAGACAAGGGAGGCAGGAGGTCGGCCGCCCACCCGTGCCCACCTTCTCCGAGGCCGCCTCCAGCGACTTCAGGTTGTTGGTGATGTTCTTCAGCTCCTCTTCCAGGTCCCCACATTTGCTGCACGAAGACAGAGACCTGAGTTTCTGCTACCCTCCCTATCAGCAGCAGGCAACCCCCCTGAAGGCTGATCACTGCGGGGAGGGGTGGGGTGGGGGGGGGGGACACCAAGCCAGGGACGGAAGGAATGTGGAATGTGGGAAGGAACGCTGCTAAGGGTTTTCCGGGGACCTAGGGGCAGCCTGGCGGGCTGCAGGAAGCCGGCGGAGCTGGATTCCTCCTGAAGCCCGGGGGACTAGAGTTCTGTTTGCTTTTCTCTCTTTTTGTTTGGCGGGGAGGAGGGGTAAGCTTACAGAGTCCAGCCGGCTTGGCCTTTATGCAGCCTGGAAGGTGCGTGAGACATTGCACAGGGGCCAGCGCGGCTCTCACAGGCCTTGCTCCCCCCGCCAGAAGTGATGTCAGCTGCACATCACCCAGGGTCTGTCTGGCGGGGGGTACGTGAGTCCTCTCCCCCGCTTTGTGTGGGGATGAGGTAGGGCCACTCCCAGGGCAGAGAACCCAGGGATCCCACTGCAAAGCCCGCGCCTGGGGCTGTGGCTCTGCCCCCTGAGACTGATGGTCTCTTGGACCACGGTCTTGGTTTGTTTGTGGACCGAACTGGGCAGTGCTCAGGGGGTGCTCCAGGCTCTGTGCTCAGGGGACCCTACGGGATGCTGAGGATCGAGCCCTCCCGCCGCGCTGTTGCCCCTCGAACGAGCTCATCTTTCGGCACAGGCAACTCTGCGCTTTTTTTTTTTTTAATTTTTGGGTCACACCCAGTGATGCTCAGGGGTTACTCCTGGCTCTGCACTCAGGAATCACCCCTGGCAGTGCTCAGGGGACCATGTGGGATGCTGGGAATTGAACCCGGGTTGTCCGTGTGCAAGGCAAACTCCCTACCCGCTTTGCTATCACTCCAGCCCCAACGCTGCACTTTTGGCGGGCGGGAGGGGCCTGGCCTGCTCCCGACGCCTGCTGATACCAGCCCTCACACCCTGCCCCTGCATCCCTGCCACTCACAGCTCAGACACCTCGGCCCGCTCCTCGGCGCGCTCCAGCTCGCCCTCTAGCACCACCAGCTTACGAGCGACCTGCAGAGAGCAGCAGCGTGCACTGACCTGAGCACCCTGGCCGTGCCCGCCAGGGAGTCCTCCCGCTGCCTGGCCCATTGGGCCCGAGCACGGGGAGAGGAACCAAGCTTTGCCGGCTAACGAGCCCCGAGCAGAGCCAGGCTGTGCTTCGGTGCTCAGCAGTGGACCAAAGGGCACCAGGGCAGGTGTCCCCAAGGGGGCTGGGCATTAGCTGCTGAATGCCAGCAGGCCAACCCAGGCTGCCCCCCACCTCCAGGCCCCTCTGAACCCTCTGCCTTCCCACCATGCCCAGCCGTGGCCACTCACCTCCTCGTACTTGCGGTCAGCCTCCTCGGCGATATGCTTGGCCTCTTTGAGCTGCAGCTCCTGAATCTCCATCTTCTCCTCGTCCTTCATGGCCCGGTTCTCAATGACCTTCATCCCTCTGCAAAGAGGTGCTCCGTGAGGCCCTGCTGCCGCCCTGGCCACCCTCCTCCAGTTCCCTGCACTGCGCACAATCCAGCATCTACCAGAGCCTAAAACTTCACAAAAAGTCGGCATGGCTCAATTTTTCCCTTCTTTTTTGGGTCTCGACAGGCGATGCTCAGGGGATACTCCTGGCGGTGCCCGGGGCCAGAGGATGGGGTGCCATGGGATGCCGCGGAGTGAACCCGCACAAGCCCCCCCTCCCAGCTGCTGGAGGTGGAAGAAGCCCACCAGCCCCACCCACAGTCACACCCACCAACCCCGCCCTGGGGGCGGCTGCCCAGCATCTTCCTTGCCAGTGGGCTTACCTCTCGCTCTCATCTGCAGCCTTTTCTGCCTCCTCCAGCTTCTGCAGCGCCGTGGCCAGTCGCTCCTGCGCCCGGTCCAGCTCCTCCTCCACCAGCTGGATGCGCCGGTTGAGGGCGGCCACATCCCCTTCGGCCTGTGGAGAGCAGAGAGCTTAGGGGCCTTATCTGAGGAAAGTGACTTTCCGAGTCATCTCCCTTCTCCACATCATCCGGGAGCTGAACCCTGGACCTCAGGATGCTGGGGGCAGCGAGGAGCAGCCAGGGGCATCTGTGCTGCCCCCCCCCCCACTTCCTGGTCACCTGGACCGCGAAGCCAGAGCAAGAAAGCAAGAAAGGGGACACTTCGTCTGAATAGAGAGGGCCGGCAGGTGGCCAGGGACTGGCCACTTCCGGAAGGGCCAGCGCCCCACTCATTCCACAGGTGGGGAAACCAAGGCACGCAGGATGTGCGTGGCAGAGGAGGGGCTTGTCCCAGGCCGTCGACCAGGACTCTCACCACCCAGACGGAGAGGCAGCAAAAACGGGGAGGACAGATTGGGGGGTCGGAGAAGCCAGCAGCGAGGACCCCTTTCTCAGGACCGGGTTTGTTAATAGGGACTGCCGGGGGCCCTCCTGGAGGTTTGGGGAATCCACCCCCCCACCCCCCACTCCTTCATTGTCCCAAGCCCCCAGCCGGCCTCGCGGGCAGCGCCCAGCGTACTTGCACTGCTGGGCGCGACCCAAGCCCTCTCCCCCCCATGGAAACTCCTTCAGCCCCTGGGGTGGGAGTCACCCCCACCCAGACCCCCACCCCAACGTGTTTTATTTTTTGGGTGGGATTGTGTAATCTGCGCCGGAAGAAACCCCACTGGAGGCATCGATCCTAAGGTCATTGGGAAATGCCAAATTCCTGGACGCTGTTCAGACAGACAGAGAAAGGGCGCTGGTCGGCAGGAATGCGGCGGTCACCGCGCCCCTTCCTGCCGCGCGCGCGCCCTTATAAGGCAAAGCGCCGGCGCCCGGGACGCGCCCCGCGCCTAAACGGAACCAGCTGCGGGCCCGCGCGGCCTAGCGCCGGGACCGTGTGGGCTGAGACCACAGCCGCCCGCCCCGGACTCGCACGCCGGGAGCTGCCTCGGCCGCCACTGTCCGCCGCCCCGGCCGGCGCCTGGCGGGAGGCGGGTGGGGGCACCGCTGCGACCCTCCCCGGAATTGCGAAGCACGACCGCCTCGCGCCGGCCAGTCCTGCCGGGGGACGGAGCCCACACGCACCGCCCTGCGGGGGTGGGGGTGGGGGTCGCGGCGGGGGCGCAGGGCCGCGTTGGGGGAGGGGCAGGGGAGGCGCGGGCGAGCGTCCGCCCCCAGCCCGGGCCAGAGCCGACACGTCGCCGCGCCGCGCCCGGGGAACAGCTGCCCGCGCCCGGCCCTAGCGAGCGAGTGAGCGAGCGAGCGCGCAAGGCCCGGCCAGACAATGGGAACGACTTTTCCGCGGCCGCTGCCCTCCCCGGGCCGGCCCCGGACTCCCCGCGCAACTCCCCGGGCTCCCCGCGCCCCTCCCCGGGATGGTGCGCCCCGCTCCCCTCCCCGCACCCCTCCCAGGGATGGTGCGCCCCGCTCCCCTCCCCGCGCCCCTCCCCGGGATGGTGCGCCCCGCTCCCCTCCCCACGCCCCTCCCCGGGATAGTGCGCCCCGCGTCCGTTCCCGGGATGGTGCGCCCCGCTCCCCTCTCCGCGTCTCGCGTCCCTCCCCAGGCTCCCCGCGCCCCGCTCCCCTCCCCGGGCCTGCGCCCCGCCCGCCCCCACGGGCGCCCCCTCCACCCCGCAGCGGCTCGGCGCGGCCGGGCTCACTTTCTCGCGCCGCTCGCGCTCGCCGTCCAGCTCTCGCTGCAGGCCCTGCGCGCGGTCCTCCGCCTCGTCCGCCTGCTGCTGCAGGGCCTGGATCTTGCGTTTCACCGCCTCCAGCGAGTTGAGGCCGGCCATGGCGCGGGGGGCGGCTGCGGGCGGCTCGGCTCGGCTCGGCTCCGGCGAGAGCTGCACGGCCGCGCCCCGGCCCCCGAGCCTTTGCCAGCGCCGGGGCCGCCCCCGCCTCTCCCCGCCCCTCGGCCGGGCCGCCGTCGGGGCGATGAGGTCACCCCGGCGGGCAGCCGACGTCAGCACCGCGGGGGCAGGGCCTGACGTCGGCACCGCTGGCCGCAGCTGCGGGAAGGGGCCCCTTTCGGGACTTATTTGGAGAAAGTCTCCTTCGGCTCCTCCTCTTCCCCGGCGCCGCCCGTGCGCCCGCACTGGCCCCCTTCGGCCCGCGCACGGACGCCCGCGGCTGGCTTCTGCGCCGGCTCCAGCTTCTCCCGCGCGGCCTGAGGCTCACCGACCGCGTGTCCAGCCCATCGTCTGTCCCCTTATGCTCCTGCCACAGGTGTGATAGTGCCTCCTCCACTTGGGGACCGATGGACACATCAGCTCGGGGGCACCTCCTGCACCCGAGTCGCGTCCTCCGTGTGCTGCCAGCACCTCCACGCCCCCTCCTCTTTCTTGAACTTTTTGGGGAAGGTCCCTCAATTCCCTGGGAATTCACACGCACACACACACACACACGCACGCACGCACGCACGCATGCACACCACACCGCTCCAGCCTCACTCAGTTTTGTTCCACTTAGGGTTTTAAAAGCATCCTTCGGAGCCCAGACACCCAGCACAGCGGGGAGGGCTCTTGTCTTCCCTGTGGCCGACCCTGGTTCCATTTCCAGCACCCACAGGGTCCCCTTAGCCAGCCTGGAGTGACCCCTGAGCAGTGCCGGGTGTGGCCCCAGAACAAAATAAGTAAGGACATCGTTGGGCGTCTGGGAGAGACTCCCCCAAACCTTGTGGGGCCTCACCTGGTGGTTGTGGGGTTCATGTGGTATTGGGAGCCTGAGCCAGGGTGCGAGCACTGCAGGCGCTTGGCTGAGTCACTGGCCTGCCCTGTCCAGTCCTGACCATCTCATCTTGAGGTCAGTCTGGCTCCCTGGAGGGAGAGAATGTGGAGAGCAGCCGGACAGCCTTTTCCTGCTCTGCCCCTCAGTTCCCTGCCCTCCGGGCTATGGGTGGACGCAGCCCTGGGTGGTGTGTGGAGGAACAACAGACAGTAGGGCCCAGCATTTCCCGCGGGACAGGCCGGGCTCGGCGCTTTCTGACTCCCACTGCTGGGACTGCCCTGTGCCTGTGTCCCAGTTGAGAGCATGGAGGCCCCCAGGACCCTGGTCACAAGCCAACCTCCTCCAAAGACAGCACCTGACCTGGCCACTGGGGCCTCTACATCAACCACTCACACCTCAGCGAGAGGGAGAACCCCAGGGTGGCGGGACTGTCAGGTGTGTGTGACGGCACGTGTGTATCTGCCATGCGTGTGTGTAGCTGTGTGCATGCATTTGTGAGTCTGCGTGTCTGTGCATGAAGCAGTGTGCTCGGTCTGCATTTGTGAACCCTTGTATGTGTGTGTGGAGTGGTGTGCATGTGTGTGTATGTGCCGTGTGCACGCATGCTGGGCCTGGGCACGGGAAGGACGGTGGGTGAGGACCGGTGAGGAGGGGCTGTCTGGCTGCTGGGGTATGTCACCGCTGGGGCAGGGAGGGGAAGTCGAGCAGAGCAGGAAATGACCCCACAGCTGCCAGCTGACCCCTGACCCAGGGCGGAGGCCCGGGGAGGGGCAGTAGCCACAGGCACTGAGTCAGCTGATTGCACCCTCACCTACTGCAGGGTGGGCACTGGGACTGGCAGGGCCTGGGGGCCACTGTCCGGGCATCCCTGGGGGCTCCTTGGGCACTCACGCTCCTGGGGGTGTGGATGGACCCCACCCCAGGGTGCCAGGACCCTCCACGTCTTCCCACCAGGAACTCCCACCATAAAGACCCTGGTACCAGGTTCTGCTTTGGGGGGGTCAGTGGCCCCCCCCCATGCCTGACTCCTTGGGCTCCTGAGGCTGGTCCCCAAAGTTCTGGCCTCAACCTCTGGGGCTCAGCCTGGACTGCAGAGACTCCCCAGGAATCAGGTACATGAAGGACCCCAGGGGAGCAGGATGGGATTCCAGGGGAGCAGGACGAGGACCCCAGGGAGCAGGACAGGACCCCAGGGGAACAGGACAGGGGACCCCAAGGGAACAGGATGAGGGACCTCAGGGGAGCAGGACAGGGGACCCCAGGGAGAAGGACGGGACCCCAGGGAGCAGGACGAGGACCACAGGGAGCAGGACAGGATTCCAGGGAACAGGACAGGGGACCCCAGGGAGCAGGACAGGGGACCCCAGGGACCAGGACGGGACCTCGGGGGAGCAGGACAGGAACTCAGGGGAGCAGAATGAGACTCCAGGGGAGGAGGATGGGACCCCAGAGTCCCCATCAGTTGTGTCACCCCATGACCTGATACCCGTCCTCGCTCCCTGTCACCCACACACAGTCCCTTGATGACACCTAAACTCACACTGATACGGTACAGGGCGCCTCACCCAGTGTCCCTCATACCCCCGCCCCCACACTCAGCGCCACCTGTCTGCCAGCTTCTGTCTGTCCTATTGTGTCTCTGTCCCTCTCTGCTCGCGCTGGCCCTGGCCCTCTCTCCAAGCCCCTTGTCCTCCCGGGAGATTCCCAGCCTCTCCCTCCCTGAGCCTGGTCCCTTCCTGGGGCCGACCAGAGAGGGTGTGGGCCGTCCTGGTGCCGCCCAGCTTCACCTGCTTGTCTGTCTCTCTCGACCTGCTCTGCTCAGCTTGATCCAGGGTGTTCCCTTGTCCAAGTGTCAGCGTCTGCATCTTCTTGATGGCCTTCATGGCGGGTGTGGTGGGTTTGCAGGATGGAGGTCAAGCAGGCAGGGCCAGCAGGCGTGGAGGGAGGAGGTGGGCTGGGCTCCAGCCTTAGTTGGGCCTCGGTAAGAAAGGCCCCACCTGCTCCCTCTGTCCCTGCCTGGCATGTGGTGTGCATCTAGGGCAGCCTCAGACACCTGCGACCTCAGTGTCCCCGACTGTCTGGAGCACAAAGGGTGGACTCCACAGCCCCACCCCAGTCCTGGCTCTCCGGCTCGCTGGGCCAGGCTGTCTCCTCCTGGTGGGAGACTCTCAGTGCCACTGAGACTCCTGTTTCCAGGAAGCTCCTGTTCATCCTTCAAAACCCAGATTTAACAGCCCCTCCTCCAGGAAGCCCTTCTGGATTTATACATGTGCTCTGAACCCTCTATCTGGCCCTGTGGGTTCACTGTTCGCCTGTCTGAGTATTCGCAGATACTGCGAGGACCTGCATGGTCAGCACACACAGGGCTTGTCCACTTGCCTTTCCCTTCTGGCTTCTTGTTTTGTTTATTTATTTTTCTGTTCTGGGACCGCACCCGGCGATGCTCTGATTCTGTCTGCTGATCTGTCTGTCCATCCCTATGTCTCCGACCTCCTGGCCACTCCTGGTGGTGCTTGGGACCATATGGGATGCCAGGGGCTGAGTCCGTGTCAGGGAGCGCCTTCTCAGCTGTACCATTGTCTGGCCCGTCCCTCCTACCCTCTGTGGCATGCCTGAAGCCCCAGCCTTCTCCCCTGTGTGGGGAATCACCCCCCCCTTTCCCCGACCGCCCTGTCACTGCCAGGCACCCCCCCCATGCCTGTGAACCCCGGGCAGCAACCAGTGGGGGACGCGGTGGGGAGGGGAGAGACAGAGGAAGTGCTGGGCACAGCTGAGCTGCATGCAGGAGCACTGGAGGGCAGGTGTGAGGAGGGCCTGGCCTGGGGTCATGAGGGGTTCAGGAGCAGGACCGCTCAGGGACAGAGAGGCCTGAGGACCCTTCTGGAGTCGCTGAGGGGCCCAGAGGGGGCAAGCCTGGTGCTGACGTTCGTGGGGCAGGACTGGGATTCGAACCCAGGAGACCTCTGACTCCCGGGGGTCCCCAACCACTCCCCCAGTCCTGCTTGCACCCAGGATGGGGGTGGCTGTGGGGTGGAGGTGGGAGGAGGGAGTGATGCCAGTTGCCAGGGAACTGGGAGGCTGCTTGCCCACAAATGCCGAAAAACTGGCCTGACCACCAGCCCTGGCTGCAGGCAGGGTGATGGATGAATGGTGACCCGGGCTCGCAGGGCAGTGACCTCTGCCCAGGGGCCGCCATCCCTCTGGTACTTTCTCCTCTGGGCAGTTTACTGTGTGGCAGCTGTTCACGAGCTCTGCTGCTCTCTGGCACCTTCCTTGGCACGCTACCCGTGCCCCTCGGGCAGGCCCGTCTCTGCCCTGCCCACTTCCGCCGGGTTCTGTCTGCTTCCCCAGTTGCAGGGTTCTACAGACAGGCGAGCTCAGAGATGAGGGTCAAAGGATCAAAGGAACACAGAGCGGCCAGGCTGAGAACCGTTTCTCTTCTCTTTCCTTTTTTATTTTTGGCCCCCCCGCCCCCACTCCGGGATGCTTGCAGCCACTCCTGGCTCTGTGTCCTGGGTGGCGCCTGGTGCTGTTGGGCTTCTGACTTCCCACACGCAAAGCTTGCTTGAGCTTGGGGGCTCAGAACCACCTCCCGTATTTGGGCCCGGGCTCCAGCTGAGGGCGATCCATCCTCCACGCCTCGTGTGGGAGCAGTGATGGCAGCTGCAGGCTGTAGGGTTCGGGGTCCTACGGAAAGTGACCCTCACAGGCATGTGTGCACACACCGGCCTGGCCCCAGCACACAGGGGGAGGGCGTCTCTGCTGCGGCAGGTACAGACGCTCAGTCGGGAGTGCTCAGCTGCTGCCGGGGAGAATTCAGAAGAAAACATACGGTGGTCATGGGTCATTGGGAGGGTGTCGAGGGGCACCATGGCCCCGGCGACCACACGCACTTCAAGGTTCCCACTGGTTCCTCTGGCTGCTCCGGGACGGAGCGCCCCCCACAGTGGAGAGCTGTGAGGAGCACGGCCACGAAAATGACTCGACACGGTCCAGGTCACCCTTGAATGTGTGGCTGCCGGTTTCAAAGATGAATGCGGGTAACTGAGAGTGTCAGCAGATGTGATGGCATTAGTTGGCGACTTCATCGTCTCCAGAGCGACCAGCAGCCTGAGCCAAGCCTGGCTGGTGTGGGTGGTGAAGAGGAATGGAATCTATGTGACAGTCACATTTTCACGACGTCCGGTGAAAAAACCGTGGTGATGTCCAGCTTTGGGCTTGTGCTGTGCTCTGGGTGACGGCAAGAGAGAGTCATGGGCATGGGGCACTGAGGCCTCGTGGTATGGCCAGAACTCTTGGGGGAATCAGGGGGAGTCCGGGTTCCTCTCTGCCAAGGCATGCAACTAGACTTGGGACAGATGACGGTGGCACGGCAAGTTCCAGGAGCCGAATACCAATGCAAGAAGACTCAGGGCTCTGGCCAGGGGAGGGTCTGGCCCTGCACCCTGCCTGGGAGAGTGTCCCTGTGAAATCTGGAGTTTCTGAAACTCGGTGTCTCTTAGTGAGAGCAGCTAAACCCTAATCTTATATAAAGAGGGTCCTGGACATGTCCTTGTGACCGCTGGACACTGCTGTATGCAGTGTTCCTGTTATAAAGTCAGGGACTGTGGGGACTCCTGGTGGGACCCTCAGTCCTCTGAACAGGACTTAATAATGTCACAGATGCCCGATGGATGGTGGGGGTGGGCGAACTAAGGGTCAGCGGATCAGAACCCACGTGAAGGGAGTGTCCAAGATCAGGACCACACAGAGACATTCAGGACAGACATAACACGCCATGTGGCGTGTACAGACACATGGACACCTGGGTTCTCTGGTCACCAAGGAAAAGCTGGCCTCCTGCTGACCAGGGCCGCCAGGGCACCCTTCATGTCCTTGTTCCGGAGGCTGTAGATGAAGGGGTTCATCATGGGGGTGACCACGGTGTACATCACCGCAGCCACTGTGTCCTTCTGGGCCGTGTGGGCGGACGTGGGGTTGAAATACACCCCGATGAGGGTCCCGTAGAACAGGGTGACCACGGAGAGGTGGGAGCCGCAGGTGGAGAATGCCTTCTGCTTGCTCTTGGCGGATGGGATCTTCAGCACGGCCGCGAAGATATTGGTGTAGGAGACCAGGATGCCCATGAAGGGGATGAAGAGGGGCAGCGCACCCACAGTGTTCAGGACGAAGTTGATGAGGGACGTGTCAGAGCACACCAGCCTCAGTAGGGGGCTGACGTCACAGAAGAAGTGGGGCACCCGGTTGTGGGCGCAGAAGGACAGCTGGGCCATCAGTATTGTGTGCACCAGGGCGTTCCCCAAGGCCCCGGCCCAGGACGCCGCCACCAGCAGGACACAGACCAGAGGGGTCACGGAGGTGGCGTAGTGCAGGGGGCGGCAGATGGCCTCGTAGCGGTCGTAGGCCATGGCGCCCAGCAGGAAGCTGTCGATGCAGATGAACCAGATGAAGAAGAACATCTGGATGAGGCAGCCAGCGTATGTGATCCCCCTGTGCCCTGTGACGTGGTTAACCAGCATCTTGGGGATAGTGGTGGAGGTGAAGCAGATGTCCACGGAGGCCAGGTTGGCCAGGAAGAAGTACATGGGGGTGTGGAGCCGGGCGTCAGTGACAATGGCCAGGACGATGAGCAGGTTGCCCAGGCCCGTGACCAGGTACATAACCAGGAAGAGAATGAAGAGCAGCTGCTGCTCCTGGGGGTCCTCGGAGAGGCCCAGGAGGAGGAACTCTGAGACCTGGCTGAAGTTTCCTGCCTCCATGGGCGACGGGGACCTGGGAGATGGAAGCAAGTGGCCGACCCACGGACCCAGACATTCCCCGCTCCCCGCTGCTCTCCAACCACTGTGCCACAAGCACCATGACAAGCACTGCTGCCCTCCAGCCCCCAGACCCCGGGGAGGAGGAGCCGTTTGTCATCGCCCTGATGGGGCATAAACCGCAGTGCAGGATTTGAGGCGCTGGTCCTGCAGCACCCACCCGGGCTCATCCCGGCACCCCAGATGGTCCCCCAGGCACCGCTAGGAGTGATCCCTGAGTTCTGAGCCAGGATTCAGACCTGCGCACTGCCGGTGTGACCCAAAAGAGCAAAAAAGAGGCAGAGACTCAAAGACGGAGAGAGACAGACAGAGAGACAGAGAGACTCACATACAGACATAGACAAACAGGTAGAGATAGAGACAGAGACAGACAGAGACAGCGAGACTCACATACAGAGAGACAGAGGCTGGGACAGGCAGCCCTTTGGGAGGTCCTCCCTGGGGAGGTTTTGGTCTGAAGTCGAGGAAGCATGAACTGTGTTCCGTGTGGGTGATGGTCCCCTTTGACAGGCGGGCGTCCCCGTGCATTGGTGGCCGAACTCAGGGGGCAGGAAGTGTCACTGTGCCTAGTGTCCTTGGGCCCAGCACAGCCTGGGGGCACACATCACTCATGGCCCATCTCACCCTCCTCTGTCCATCCTCTCCGCTCTGGGGTCAGACCTGACGGAGATCCTGCCCTTGTCATCACAGGACCCGGGCGCCGGCCTGCTTCTCCTCTCTCTGCCTGGAGATGGATGCAGCCCCCCTCACTTCCCTGCCTCCCTATTTTCTCCAGAGTCCTTTACCCCGGCCACGCCAGCCTCTCTCACAGGACTCACACACACCAGAGCATCCAGCTTTACTCTGTCTGCATCATACAGACCAGAGAGGCAAAGTCGCTTCCCTGGGCCAGTACAGTAGGTCTGGCTGGGGCCGCTCGTCCCTGCCACTCCTTCCCCTGACCCAGGCTGTCTGTCCCCACTCACCTGTGCAGGTGTCTGAGTGAGCAGGTGTGTGTGTGTGTGTGTGTGTGTGTGTGCAGGTGTGTGTGTGTGTGCAGGTGTCTGATCAGGTGTGTGTATGCAGGTGTGTGTGTGTGTGTGCAGGTGTCTGAGTGATCAGGTGTGTGTGTGTGTAGGTGTGTGTGTGCAGGTGTGTGTGTGTGCAGGTGTCTGAGTGATCAGGTGTATGTGCAGGTGTGTGTGTGTGTGCAGGTGTCTGAACAGGTATGTGTGTGTCTGAGTGAGCAGGTGTCTGAGTAAGCAAGTGTCTTCAGGGGGGAGGCACCTCTTCTGGAGAGCGTCCAGGGCTGAGGGGGACGTGGTGGCGGTCCTGGTCCCACAGGAGCATCCTGAGGACCCGGCAGAGCCCAATTTACCCCTGTCCTCGATGCTCCTCGGGCTGCGTCCCTCGTGCCTTGTTAGGGCTCCTGCTAATTGTCCCTCCACCTCTGCCCCTCTGTGCCTGGCCCTGAGGAGGGGCTGAGGGCAGCTGGTTCTGTCGAGGCTGGTCCCTCTGCCCCTTGCTCTGGCATCCAGGGACTCACCAGGGCCCTCCTGCGGCAGGAAACCCCTCATTTTCTGGTCCCGCCCAGCTCTGTACATATGGCCTCCATGCCGGGAGCAATGTCTGCTGATGCTCGTTTATTTAAATTTAAATTCTTAAAACCCTAAATTTATTATCATTTGGCGTTATTTTTTTCTCTAACATTTCCCACCCTGCAGCATTGAGTTTGGCGCCCACTAATGGCACATATGGGTGCCCTCCACTCGGTTAAGAACCATATAGAAATTAATGGGGCTGGGGCAACAGCACAGCGGGGACGGCGCTTGTCTTACACATGGCTGGCCCGAGTTTGATCCCCGGCATCCCATATGGTACCCCAGCACTGCTAGGAGTGAGTCCTGAGCACAGTGCCAGGAGTAACCCCTGAGCACTGCTGGGTGTGGCTCAAAAACAAAATAAAATAGCAATTAATCATCACAAATTGACTATTGATTTATTTTCTGAACGTTTCATTAGCCATTTCTTTATGTTTTGTTGGAGCAAGTAATATAAAATAAATTTGTTATCTGCCTGCCAAGGGGGCAGGAGGGATGCCAGGGAGCCTGGGACATTGGTGGTGGGATTGGGGTTGGAATATCGTATGCCTGAAACAAGTCTTAAGTCTTACTAAATGTAGCCTGCCCACACTACAGAGTCTGGCAAACTCCCCGTGGCATACCCAATATGCCAAAAACCAGTAACAATGATGGGTCTCACTCTCCTAAAGAGCCTTGAATATAATCTCAGGGCTAGGATGAAGGAGACGTTACTGGGGCCTGCTCGAGGCAATCGACGAATAACAGGATGATTTGTGATTTGATTGTGATTTGTGAAACAAGTCTGTTATGAATAACTTTGTGAATCACAGTGCATTAATTAAAGGTAATAAAAAGCATTAAATTTCAATTTTGAGTAAAATTTTATTTGTGCATTGAGTGACACGGGTGTAGCCCTTACATGGATCCCAGCTGTACTGGTCAGAGTGGGTGCGAATTCATGCCACGTGGTCATTCCCACCAAAACTTTGCTGCCTCCACCAGACCTTTTGTTTCTGAGCACGTGTGAGTAGTGGTGTGTGAAGTGCTACTGTGCAAAGGAACTTTGCCTGCCCTCCAGTGGTTTCGGAAGCTTTGGGAAGAGAAATGAATTCTTATGAAATCCTTCCATGCATGGCCACTAGATGGCGCCATTCATCTGCGTGTGCCTCTGTTGCGTCTGTGGTCGTATATGCTGAGGTGTGCACGATTGTGCATGCACGTGAGTCTGTCAGTTGTGTGAATGCGTGCATATGGTGTGAGTGTGTATGTACATGGGTGAGTGCCAGTGTGTACGTGTGCCTGTACATGCGTGTATACTTGAGTGTGCGCATGGATGTGCACGTGTAAGTGTGTGAGTGTGTATATGTGATGTTATAACAAAAATATATTTACAAATGGGTTAACTTGTTACTTTTTAAAACTCTAAAAAAGCTCCTCCCCTGCCTCAACGGGACTCTGAGATGCCGCCCACGAACGGCCACCCTGGCTATTTATTAAGCTTCATAACTGTCATGATCCCAGAGACACACAAACGAATCTTGGAACCGAGCAGCTCTTGGCAGAAATGCCTCCAGATTTTGCATTAGGCCACCTTTGCTGGGCCACCTCAGATGGGAGCGGGTTCTGTCCCTCTGCCTGTTCCTCGGGAAGCCCAGAAGCCGTCATCTTCCAGAGCTCATTGGAAAATCCAGGTATGGGCCAGCAGTGACAACACACGCTGGGCCTCGGGGGATAGGGGAGGAGCCGGTCCTCCTCTTCCCCAGCCCCAACGGGACTCTGAGATGCCTCCCATGAACGCCCTCCGCCCGCCGCCCCCCCCCGGTCCCCCAGCTACTTATTAAGCTCTGTAACAGTCATGATCCCAGCGACACACAAACAAATCTCAGAACTGAGCAGCTCTTGGCAGAAATCTCTCTAGACCTAATTATTAAAATTTTAGAATTCCAAGATTGCGTGGCCACAAGAGTGGTCATGTGACATCATATGCTATTCATAACCAGCAATAGAAAGCAAATTGTCTAATGCTGCCTTTTTGGCAGGTCTGAGTGTTGGGGGGAAATTCCAAATAATAATGGTGGGACTGGTGTCGAAATATTGAATGCAATCAAAGTAAAGAGAGAGTAATGTGGAAATTATCTGCCACACAAGTAGGGGTAGGGGTGGGAGGGGGTTATACTGGGGTTTTTGGTGGTGAAAAATGTGCACTGGTGAAGGGATGGGTGTTTGATCATTGTATGACCGAGACTCAAGCACGAGAGCTTTGTAATTGTTCTCACGATGGTTCAATAAATGAATAAATAAAAAGAACTCTAAAAAATTGTATTAATATATTTTGGTTTGGGGGCCACACCTGCTGGGGTTCAGGCCTTATTGCTGTCTTTGAGCTCAGGGGCACACCAGGTGGGGCTCAGGGGACCCGATGGGGTGTCGGGGATTGAACCTGGGTCAGCTGAGTGCAAGGTCAGTGCCCTTACTGCTGGACTATCGCTCCAACCCAGAAGTTAAGCTTTTTCCCAAGTGAATTTTAAAGTTGCAATGAGCAGCCCACCCTTTGGGTTTCCCTGCCCTGTCCCAAGCTTAGCTATCACTCACGGCCCTTCTAGTTTGTTTATTATTCCAGGCTATTTATTGGATATCTTTTTTTTTTAACATCAATGATATGTATTTAGCTGTATTTTGAGCACCTTTGAGACATTTTTATTTCTTTTTAAAATATTTTGCTTTTTGGGCCACACCCAGCAATGCTCAGGGCTGACTCCTGGCTCTGCACTCGGGGATCACTCCTGGTGGCGCTTGGGGAACCCTATGGGATGCCGGGGGTGGACCTGGGTTGGCCATGTGCAAGGCACACGCCCTCCCCACTGTCCTATTGCTCCTGCCTGGGACACTTTCTCAGGGCTGAGGGTCCTGCAGAAAACACAAATCCTGACCTGACTTAGCACTGTGACCAAAAACCATTGGGGGCTCAGGACAGGAGGATCGCGGCCACTTGGTGTGAAGGGCAGTTTCATCTGCTGAAAAGTGGAAGACCCCAAATTCGCAATGTTTTGTGGGTAGAAGTCAAAACCGTGGCCCAGAGAGATGTTCATGGGGAGTGAGGCTGACCCGGAGCAGCTGTCAGACCTGTGGTAGGGCCCCAGGTACATTGACACCACAGAAACAAGCGTAGCACAGCATCAGTTCCTAGGGGGCTGACACAGGCAGACAGGGGAGGTCAGTGGCCATGTCTAGGTAGTGGCCCGCAGAGTGGGGAGCCAGCCCTCGGGGTTGGAGCGACTGCCCAGGGGTGACAGGCTCACAAGCCCAGGAGGTTCCAATGTCCTGAGCTTCTCCCTTAGAGATCACTGATTTCACTGCAGATGACTCGCACCTGGGTGGAAA